AAAGGAAAGGAAAGGAAAGGAAAGGAAAGGAAAGGAAAGGAAAGGAAAGGAAAGGAAAGGAAAGGAAAGGAAAGGAAAGGAAAGGAAAGGAAAGAAAAAAAAAGAGAAAAGAGCAAAGAATCAGATGGTTGCTGTTTCACAGTTAGTTTCTGCTTATTCAATGTTTTGCAACACTGAAGACATTTGTAGGGAGAAGTTTCTTGAAAAGTTTCCTGTTCTTGCTTTATTCTGTACTGTTAACTACAATACTTTTTTCTTTGTATTAATAATCTCTTTGAAGCACAAATGTGGTGCTCTTTATTGCCAACTGTGAAATGTAGATTAATTTGAAGAAGCCCTTTTTATTCAAAAGGCTATAATTTACAGTCATTAGCTAAACTGTAAAAGAGGATTTATGTGGCGTCCTCCTTTCCAGCACTGGACACCTGTACTTAGGCACACACAAAAGAGAGAACTATGTCAAAGCACAAGACAGCAGAGAGGTTGGTTAATCCAGAGCACCAAAAAGAACCACCCCAATCCCTCTGATAAGCAGATGACATACGGAAAACTGTCACTAGGAAAGTCCCTCTGTTTTGAGTTCAGTGCAGGCAAGGCAGCTGATGTGATAAAAACATGTATGCCAGAAATTATATACTAGAAAATCTGGCATAGCAGTGCATCTTATGCCTCTACTTTCTTTGAGTATCAAAGTTGATAATTTTACTTTTTAGCAACTTTAAGTCCTAGAGTTCTCAATTCCCCTCTAATTACTTGCAGGACATGGGAAAGGCAGCATTTAGCTATGACTGGTTTCTTGTTTAGTTAGTGATCAGATCCATTTCTTGAAAAATTCTCATCACTTGTTCAATGTAAAAGAAATCCTGTTAGAAATTATCACCACATTTGGACTGGGGGCAGGGAATGCTTTGTTTCTTTGTTGCTGTTATTGTTTTTTTGTCTTTCTTGGTGGTTTTTTTTTTTTTTTTTTTTTTTTTTTTTTTTTTTTTTTTTTTTTTTTTTTTTTTTTTTTTTTTTTTTTTTTTTTTTTTTTTTTTTTTTTTTTTTTTTTTTTTTTTTTTTTTTTTTTTTTAAGAATAAAAAAAAAAACTGCTTTCTAGTTAACAGCAGTGACAAGCCTTGCCTGAATAGAAATGTTTTTACTAAAGCAAACAACAAAGAGACGGGAAGAAAGAGAAATTATATCTCAAACTAGTTTAGTGAGTGTGTATCTATTTTTGGATAATATCTGAAGACGTACTCAGTCACTCTACCACTTTGTGATGATAAACCTTGTGGGAAAACTAAATTATTAGACAAGTTAATGTTGTGAACAAAGAAGTACCTGAATTTTTAGCAGTTTTAGAACGCTTGTATGCCTCCATTATGTGCCTAAAGAGAACCACTGAAAGCACACACACTCTCTCTCTGGTAAACAACCTTCGACTCAGTTATCTGTATGTACACTGCTAGTCAGTTCCATCTAGTAGAGGGCATGGTGTGCAATTTTGTGGGAGCATAGACAAAGCCACAACAGAGAAAGTTTGGCAAAGTCAGGTGCCAGCTTCTCCAGAAGGTGCTGTTTGGATTGTGCTTAGATGTTTTTAACGGAATGGCAAGGAGTTATCAGCTCTCGCTCTGAATGCCCCAATGTCAAGGCATGAGAAAAGGAGAAGCCTTTCATACAGAAGCTTCACTGATAAATTTTTGGTCAGAATCTGTAAACAACAGATTATTTGGGCAATGATCAGTTATCCTTCTGGAGCATGAGCAGCATCTATGACTCCAAACAAGACTAAACTTTACATGTTCCCTGCCTAAAGTTTAAGCCAGCCAGCCAGAGACACAACACACTGGGACACCTAGAAAGATAAAAAGCCAGAGATATCATTTAAACAGTATGTTAAGATTATTGTTTTTCTGCTTCTTTTAAGTGCAGTAACAGAATACACTTCAGAAGGATCTGAAGGGCTGTACTTTGACAGCAATGAGCAGTAGTATAAATGTAGAACTGGACAGCTATAAAGGACAGTGAAAATAAGAACACAATGATTACAATGAAACTAGTTCTCCTGTATACTTTTGAGCTAAAACTATCATCTACTGCCTAACAAATAATTTATATTTCAGACTCTACTGATTTGTGGATACCTCCACAAATGAAGACTGTAAGTAGACATGTGAAGAAAATGGATTGGAAAAGTGCAAATTCTAATTTTCAACATTAAAAAAAACCCAAGTGATTTGGAAAAAAATCAAACAAAGTGAACTAAGAAAGGTATACCTTTATTCTAAAATATATGCTTGAAAAATGTCTGCATGTGAAGTCTCTAAACATCCTGTTTCACTCAGTCATGTTTCATCTGAGTGCACCTGTGTCAAAATGCCAGTATTTTGTCATGTTTTCTTAAATGGACAGGGGCACTGTCTGCTGGGTTAGGAACTGGCTCAAGGGCCCAGAGAGTGCTGGTGAACGGGGTTGCGTCCAGTTGGGATCCAGTCACCACTGGTGTCCCCCAGGGATCAGTGCTGGGACCAGTCCTGTTTAACATCTTTATGGAGGATTTAGATGAGGGGATTGAGTCCATCATCAGCAAATTTGCAGATGACACCAAGTTGGGAGGGAGTGTTGACCTGCTGGAAGGCAGGAGGGCTCTGCAGAGGGACCTGAATAGGCTGGAGAGTTGAGCTGATTCCAGCGGGATGAAGTTCAACAAGGCCAAGTGCCGGGTCCTGCACTTTGGCCACAACAACCCCCTGCAGCGCTACAGGCTGGGCACAGAGTGGCTGGAGAGCAGCCAGGCAGAAAGGGATCTGGGGGTGCTGATCGACAGGAGGCTGAACACGAGCCAGCAGTGTGCCCAGGTGGCCAAGAAGGCCAAGGGCATCCTGACCTGGATCAGGAACAGTGTGGCCAGCAGGAGCAGGGCAGTGATCCTTCCCCTGCACTCAGCACTGGTGAGGCCACACCCTGAGTATTGTGTTCAGCTCTGGGCCCCTCAGTTCAGGAAGGATATTGAGGTGCTGGAGCGGGTCCAGAGAAGAGCAACAAGGCTGGTGAAGGGACTTGAGCACAAGTCCTGTAAGGAGAGGCTGAGGGAGCTGGGGTTGTTTAGCTTGGAGAAGAGGAGGCTCAGGGGTGACCTCATCACTCTCTTCAACTACCTGAGAGGAGGTTGTAGCCAGGTGGGGGTTGGTCTCTTCTCCCAGGTAACCAGTAGTAGGACAAGAGGGCATGGGCTTAAGCTCTGCCAGAGGAAGTTTAGGTTGTATATTAGAAGGAAGTTCTTTCCAGAGAGAGTGATCAGGCATTGGAATGGCCTGCCCAGAGAGGTGGTGGATTCACCGTCCCCAGAGGTTTTTAAGATGAGGCTGGATGTGGCACTGAGTGCCATGATCTGGTAATCACAGTGGGGTTGGATCAAGGGTTGGACTTGATGATCTTGGAGGTCTCTTCCAACCCAGTTAATTCTATGATTCTGTGATCTGGTACTGCTGAGTTTTCCACTGTGAGCACTCAATGGGGCTAGTACCAGACATGCTAAGTTTACAGTATTTCTACTATGTCTCCGGCATTTCTGGCAAAGAATTTCCTGACAAGTAAACTTTTTTTTTTTTTGTGATATAGACAAAGACACAGCAAAGCTGCTAATTATTTTGTGAAAAGATGTAAATTAGATGTGTAGTAGCAGCTAATTGGGCCTCATGCACAGAGGCAGAGTGACAAAGTGACAGAGCTAGGGGACTGATATTTATGCCTTTCTGTAGCCCAGGCAAAGCAAAAAGCATAAAAGAGAAGTTCTCAAGTGTTCACCTGAACACCACATGCCTACTGTTGATTAGCCCACCCTGAAACAGGCAAGGGGACTTAGAAAAACTCACGTGAAAACAGAGACTTCTTGATTTGGTATCCTGACTTCTGTGTGATAGTTATTTTCAAGCAACTCCAAATATTACATGAAAATGTTATCAGAAATTAATGGAGGGTTTTACACTGAGGATAATGGAAAATAAGGTAAAAAAATCCTATTTATTCTCCTTGCATCCTCATGGAGGCAATTACCAGCTTCACAATTTTTATATACTCTGCATCACTTCCATCCCCAATACTATTCAGTTGCTACCATGGCTGATAGTCTCTGCATCCAAATGGAATCAACATTTCAACAGTTAGCAGAGCAGCACACAAAATTAACATCCTTTTCTATTTTTTCTTATTTAAGTGTAATTTTTGTTTTCTGTTCTTATAAAAACTGGTTATAAAGATTGCCTCTGAGAAAAATGTTTCCACAGGATGTGACATATAAAAAAAACATCTTCTGGAGAGTAAGCAAATCAGATTGCCATATTCCATTGTCTATTAACTCTGTCATCAGAGGAAAATTTCACTACCACCAGTAGTTTCCAGTTATATAGGAATCTGCTGAGAAACAAACTGATTTGCAATATGTTTGTGGATATTTCTGAAAGTGCACAAAAGGAATTCTTTGCTCTGTAAGAGGGCACTACACTGGTTAAACAGAAAAAAGACTGGCCTGACCAGGCACTTGGCCTTGTGAACTCCACAGGGTTTGCACAGACCCTACTCTCAATCCTGTCAAAGCCCCTGTGGATGGCATCCCTTTTCCCCAGCATGTTGGCTGCATCACACACACACGACCGCTTGGTGTCATCAGCAAACTTGCTGAGGGTGCCCTGGATCCCTCTGCCTGTGATGCTGACAAAGATGTCAAACAGCGCCAGTCACAAAACTGAGCCCTGAGGAACAGCACTCACCACTGGTCCCTACTTGGACACTGAGCCACTGACCACAACGCTTTGAGTGTGACCATCTAGTCAATTCCTTATTCACTTGTCCCCTCATCAAATCCGTGTCTCTCCAGCTCAGAGAGAGGAATGTTGTGTGGGGATGGTGTGAAATGCTTTGCACAACTCCAGGTAGATGATGTCAGTTGCTCTTCCCTCATCCACCTGTTGTAGAAGGCCACTAAATTTGATTTTCCCTTAATGAAGCCATGTTGGTTGTAATCAATCACCTCCCTATTTTCCATGTACATTAACATAGTTTCCAGGAGGATCTGCTCCACGATCTTGCCAGGCACAGAGGTGAGACTGAGGGGCCTGTAATTCCTCAGGTCTTTTTTGTTTCACTTTTTAAAAACAGGGGTTATGATTCCCCTCTTCCTGTCCATGGAAACTTAACAGACTGCCACAACTTCTTAAAAATAATGGAAAGTGTCTTAGCCACTTGCTTCACCAGTTCCCTTAGGACCCATGCATGTACCTCATCAGGTTCCACGGGTTTGTGCACCTTCAGGTGCCTTAAATGGCCTCAAACTGGATGCTTTCCTACAGTGCGTGGTTCTTCATTCTTCAAGTCCCTGCCTTTGGCTTCTGTGACTTGGGTAGTGTGGGTGAAGCACTTTTTGGCAAAGACTGAGGAAAAAAAGTCATTGAGCAGCTCAGCCTTCTCCTGGGTACCATGATTAACAGTGCTGTGTATAATCAAGTCTCCCATTTCCTTCCAGAGAGGGTCTACATTTTCCCCTCATCTTCTTTTTATCACCAATATACTTACAGAAGCTTTTCTTGCTGCCCTTGATGTCCCTGGTCAGATTTAATTCTATTAGGACTTTAGCTTTCCTCGCTTGAAAAGTGATTCTTGCCTGCTTGGACATCCCCCCCTCTAGGGGGGCTACCCTGACCTTATTTCCACCTTCCTCAGGCTTCTTGTGTTTGAGTTTGTTCAGGTGCTCCTTGTTCATCCAAGCAGGCCTCCTGGTATTTTTGCCCAACTTTCTCTTCATCAGGATGCATTGTCCAGAGCTCAGAGGAGGTGATCTTTGAATATTAACTATATTCCTTATGACTCTCTTTACTCCAGGGCCTTATCCTGTGGTGCTCTACCAAGAAGACCCCGGAGGCGCCAAAGTCTGCTGTCCTGAAGCCCCATGGTAGTGAGCTTACTGTGCACCCTCCTCTATGTCCAAAAGGTCTCAATCTCCACCATTTCATGGCCATGGAAGCCCAGGATGCTCTTGAGTTTCATATCCTGTCTTTTTTGGGTGAGAACAAGGTTCAGCACAGCACCTCTCCTTGTTGGTTTCTCTATCGCCTGAAGAAGGAAGCTTTCAACTCATTCCCGGAACCTCCCTGGTTGCCTGTACCCTGCTGCGTTGCCTCTCCAACGAGTATTGGGGTAGTTGAAGTCCCCCCTGAGGACCAGGGTTTGTGAAGGAGAGGCCACTCTGATCTGTTTGTAAAGGGTCTCATCTTTTCAGTCTTCCTGGTCAGGCAGCCTGCAGTAGATCCTGCCCCTGCCCTCCCAGTAATCCCTGTCCTCCCTTTAATCCTGACCTGTAAGATCTCACTCAGCCCCTCATCCATTCCCAGGTGATGCTCTAAGCACTGAAATTCATCACTGACATAGAGGGCGACACTCTCTTCTCATCTTCCCTGCCTGTACTTCCATTCCAGCACTCCAGTCGCAGCAATCCCACCACCTCTCCTTGATGCCAGTAAGAGCATGGCCCTGCAAGTGTGTGCATGTCTCCAGCTCCTCTTGTTTAGTTGTAGTTGTTTGTACAGAGGCATTTAAGTTGGCCCCCACTGGAGTGTCAGGAATTCCCTCGTGCTGCTCTCCAGGTGCTCTCCTCCTGACATGTGACTCCTCTTCAGGCTCTGGGCATCTGTTGCTGGCACTGGCATCAAACTGGTAGGAGTGTGATGGACTGAGGTTCCCCTCCACCGGCACCTTTACATTAAAGCCCACCAGCTTGGCAAGTTTACAGCCAAAGATGCTCTTCCCCTTCTCTGACTGATGTACCTCATCAGCCCCTGGTAGACCAGGTTTCTCAAAGCTTGTTCACTTCCTGTTTTTACCACTGTAATTCCTAAAGCAACAGCAAAGCAAATCAGCGAACACCAAGTTAAGGAACATAGGAAGTTTTGGTCTTGTCATTTCTTTTGTGGCAAGGATCCAGTTTGCTGCTGAAGACAGGAAGTAGAACTAGGAGCAAGCTGTACTCTCAGTGCACCTCTTATTTCGTGGCACCACGGTACTTTGCAAACACTGTTTAATTCAGGTTCACAAGACTTCTGTCACATGCTAAATATTTTTATATTCCACAAGAAGAGTCATTAAGAGAGCTATTACACAGAGATAGGTAAAAAAACCTACAACAAAATTGGAAACAGAAAGTAAGGCTCTAAACAATAGATTACATTACTTAGAAAAAGATGCTTTGTACTAGGCTTAACTGGCAGGGCTTTGGTAGCAGGGGGTTATGGGAGCGATTTCTTGTGGCAGGAGGCTATGAACTGTTCTGTGCCACCCAGCTACTTCCAGCTGCTCCTGAAACCACTGCAAATGAACCCATTAAGTGCCAAAATTTCAACTAGAGAAGCGCATGGTGCCTCTGCACACAGATATTTTAGAAAGCAATAGCTGTTAAAAGAAGAGGACAAATGGTGGCACTGTTGAGACGTGGTTGGAAACACTCTTGGAAGGAAGAGTCATGTGCCAGAGCAGGTATATCCCTGAAATGCCTGTGGGTCATGGGCAACTCACACCAGAGCAGACACTATCCCATAGTAAACCCAAGTTGGAGTGGTGGAAAACAAGTAAGAAGAAAGAAGTAACATATACATGCCCAGTCTCCTGCATGGCCCCTCACCTCACCAAGGGGATTAGGAATAGTTGAACGTAATGTGTAGCAAAACCAAGGTGAGCTGAGATCCAAAAGCAGGGAGCACTTTTTTACTGAATTAAAGCTGGGGGAAGAAAAGTGTTTCTTCACTAAGTGTGTTTGTTTAATTGGAGTTTTTTTCCCTCAATACCCAGATCTGTAATAAAAAGCTTTGTTAACTGGTAATAAATTAAGTAAAATGCCACAAACCAAGACTGTTGGCTTGGTTATATCTCTAATGTGGTTACAAAGTTATATCTCTTTAAGTCCAACATACTATGAAATATGTTGATAGAGAAAGAGATCACAGAAAAGAAGTAGAGGGCCATTACTCGCCGAAGCTGCACTACTGTTTGAACAGTAAATTTATGTGCTGAGCTGGCTGCATAAAGTTTCTTATCAAAAAGCATGTTTAGACGCCATGTTTGAAGTTGACAAGCAGCCACCGGGTGAGGTGGAGGGAGGTAATAGGCACCACTCTGCCAGGCAGTTTTGGTCATGGGAAGAGGTTCAAAAGTGAATTAAGGTGAACTACTTGCCAGCGTAAAGTTAGTTACACAGAGCTAGTTACGCAGAGAGCCAGCACAAAGCAGGTGCCACATCCTAAAGCTCAGACTGTTTCCTGATAGCCTACCCATGAAGGCATGCCTTAAAGGTCTTCTGAGAGCTCTGTCTGTTAGTTGCAGGAAAGGACAGATACGCTTTCAGACTTCTTCTTTTTCCCTAAATTAACCAATTGGATGTGTGTTTTTCCCTCAGGACTCCCTCTGGGGTCAGTGACCATGTCAGTTTCCTTTTTTGTGCTATCAAAAAACAACTCTGAAAAAGTCAGGAATCTGTCAAATTAACATACTGGTGGGGATGGGAAAATGACATGCAGCATTTTCAACTATAGCCTTCTCTTTCATTGCAGAAAGGGCAAGTTATGCAACTCTCAGATGGTAGGGAGAACCCTGTTTGACTTATTTGCTTCATTTCATTTTATAGCTACTGCACTCAGTTGCAAAAGGCTGATAAAATCTATTTAAAACATAGAAGTATAAGTCCTGCAGACTAATATTATGATTCATCTACCGTCAACTTCCCCGATTATTCTCCCTTCTTAAAGTTATGTTGATAAATCAGTTGTCTTCCCATTTATTAAAGCATGTGGCAGTCTGTTTATTTAATCATCTCTTAGTCCATTTTTTAATTAAGGGAGATAATGTAGGCTCATTTCCTGTCATATGTGAACCCGGCAGACCACAGGTTGTCCTCAACTACCACATTAAAATTCAAGATTATTTGTAATGTCTGCCTTATCAGACAACTCCTTCCCTTCTCCCTGCTCAGCTGAAGAGAAAAATACAGACTTGTTTTTTTTCTGCATTTCCGCACTGCTGACACCCACCCAAGTCAAGGACAGGAAGAAGGAAACGGGTGAAACATTTTTCTGGGAGATGGTGCATCCCAGCAAAGGTAATCATACTGCATCATATGATGACCCTATGAATAGTTCTGTGAAGGGATGGAATGCTGGAATGCAAAGGGAAAGCATGGGTGGAGCACATTCGTAGCTTGCTCTGCAGCTGGACTTGGCCCACCTCCTGGACCACTCTGGCCCCAAACCTTCACCTGTCAGCTTAGTGCAGGATTACTGATAACCACCAACTGCAACATTAAATAAACTTTGGGCTCTCTGTATTCCAACGCAAGCAAAGTTCTTGTAACAGCCTTAAGATCATCTCTATTCCTATCTCTGAGATATCCTGCTTTTGTGTCTTGCTTGTGATTCACCCTCAGCTTTTAACAGCTACAGCTAATTCAGGCTCACTAATCTGGCAGAGAAATTCTCCTTTTCAGGGCCTTCTCCTATCCCTTAGGACACACGTAAATGGCATACTAAATTCTCCTATGTAGAAAGAAACTAGAAACCATAGATACATTTCAACTTATCAACACAAGCCACATTGAAGTGCCTTTCAGTGGGCCCTGTGAACTGTTGGAAGCAAGATGATCCATTCTCTCCCACTTCACGGGCCCTTCTCTAGTCAGCATAAGCATATACAAGAACCACCTCTGCAACAGCTCCAACTCCTGCAGAAACACAGGCAAACATCACTTTTCCACACTTGCAGAATTGTTTCATATCAACTATGCTATACATGTCCTTCTGATGTGCCTTTCTGTGGAACAACTGAAAATGTGATGTAGGCCTGGGCAGCCCTTTCTAGGTGACACATCTTTGAGCAGGCATTTGGACTACAATGCCAGACAACACCTCAGCTGTTCTATGATTCTGGGTAAAAAAAAAGAATTGTTTCCAGCACTTCATAATAAGTTGTATAACAGTAGTTTCCAAACTCCAACCTATGGAGAAAAGGTTCCCTGATCCCTTTTAAAATTGGCTAAATGTCCACAGTGAGGATTTGAACATAAACTCCTTTCTAAATTATGCCTCACTTTTTCTTCTCTGCTTTTATTTTTATTTTATTGAGCTTGCATTTGCAAGCAACAGCATAAGCAGTTCCATTTCTGGAGCCTTACTTTTGGAAGCAATCAATTTAATTTTAATCTATATCAGTCCACAAGGAAGTGTCTGGTTTTGTTACATCGCTAATTATCTGAACCTTTGTCTGACTCCATCTGTCTCACTTAAGACTCAGAGTGTGCTCTGGAGCTAACACAATGCCTTCAAAAACACCTACTTAAAGCTTAAAAAAACCCTCACAATTCACCTTTATATAGATAACTATTCCCTTCACATGCATTCAAGTGACTGCCATGAGTGCCATGCTACTGCCAACCAATGAAAGAAGACAGAATAAAATTATATACAGTACAGGAAGAAGCAGAAGACAAATGAACTTCTGTTTTCAAATGGCAGGATTTGCCATTTTGTATTTTTTCACACAAAATGCATTACACTTTTCTGTTTTTACCAGTCCTAGTGAGCATCTCTCAAATAAGGCAGCAGATGGAATGTGTCTGTGCACAGAGGTAGAGTTCATCCCTTTAAATTCCCAGTGTTGAACCACAGACCTTATTCCTAGAGGAAACTCACTGCAACAAGTGTGAAGAAAAACTCAGTGAAGGGAGGAGGAGAATTTCCCAGAACTTTTCCCCAAACCCACACTTACCAAAGGCTCTAGTTCTTTGCGGTCTATGAGGTTGAGCTCTGTCACAAAGTAATAAAAATGCTTGTAACAGGTATTGATGTGGGCCTCAGCCCCCATGAGGATGATGCGGTCAAAGTGATGGATGTAGACATGAACAAATACACGAAAAAGCCGACAGAGTATCTTCTTGCAGATCTGAAGGAAGTTCTTTGGAAAAGGAACACCTGTGAATAAAGAAGGCAAGGTTGTCATAAAAATCCTGGCATTGTCACAGGACAAGAGTGTTGGAACAAAGTAGGAGATTTTAACTGCAAACTAGGGTATGGCTTTCTAGGTCTCCTTTCCAAGGTCACCTAAAGCATACATTTATCTGACGGTTAGCACCAAAGATAACCAAATGCTTAAGCAACTTTAATGGATTAAGACTAGCAGGAACTGGTCTTTTATTTCCCTGCACAATTTAATGGAGGAACATCCAGTCTTGTAACTTTCAGAAATCTGATTTTCACGAAGCCATTAACATCAATGGCTCTACATCATGAGGTGGTTGTTCCCCAAGCTAATGGAAGTAATGGACACTGCTCACCTTAATCAATAGTGTCATCTCACAGCATCAAATTTAATAACAAATTTGAAACAACTGACTGAAAAACAGACCCCTTTGCTTTCAACTTCCTCCCAGTTATATGTACCAATCTGCTTGTTCCTTTAAGAAAAAAACTCTTTGAGGAGACACAAGAACAGTTCAAAAACACCTTAGAAGTTATGCTGCTTTGTAGCTGGAGACTCCAAAGCAGTTACAATAATAAAAAGCCAGGCACCCGCAATAGTACCAATAATTCCTTCAAAACTGTCCTTCATAAAAAACTGATCTTGCATGCCATTGTGTGTCCTTGAGCTGTCTCCAAAAAAGCTTAAAGGTTCACTTCCTTCCATGGTTGTCCCTCAGACTTGATGACGTCAGTGCCATGCTCAGAACTCTACTGCTGTTTTGGTTTGCTGCAGTCTCTTGATTTTCTAGTTATAGTTTATGTTTTAGTTGGATTTGAACCACACAAATATAGTTATTGCTTCTTAAAAAATAAAAATAAATCTTGAAACCAACCAGTTGGTTTTGTTCCCTGAAAGCCCAGCTCATGCTCTGAACAAGAAAAGCATTTATTGTTTGCAGAAAGAAGGTAGAGATACTAAACTAACAAGTTGCAAGCTTTCTAGTCTTCACATTTTAGTCTCCTACTAAATATTGCTCAGCAGTCATAAGAACGGTGAATTAATGGACAAATTGCACAGTTCCACTGAGGGTGACATGGGAACGTACAGTGAGAATTTCCATATTGAAAACAAAGTTTTGACCACAGATGACATATATTATGAACTGTGGCTGTAACCCATCTGGGTCCCATCGACATAAACGTGTGCCTGATTTTGGATCCCTAGACAGGGAGGTAGCAGGATATATATACTGTGGATTTGAGCACTGGTGTGTCTGTTAGCATGTGAGCAGAGAAGTACATCAGCCTGCAGAAGTGTCCTGTTCAGTGTATCCCTGATTTGCCATTGCTGAAGCAGATAATGTTGGGACATGTCTTGGGGATTTTGGCTTGTACTAGGTTCACCAGGGGAAATCCTTCTGAAATAATTTCAAGTAGCTTTAGAAATGCAATGTAGCCCTTCTTATTCCTGATATACAAAGCAGGGATCAGAAGAAGAGCTACACCTATTAAAGCACAACTACTTTATCTTCTTAAGAAATGTTTGTTTTTCCTTATCACATCCATTCATTTAAATGCTAAAGGTATTATTGAAGGTCACAGAGGAGAAGGCCTGAAAGCTCAAGACATGAACTGAGACATGGTTAAACTACAGAAATGACTGTATGTACAGATGTTTTGGCAATATTTGAATCACAACTCCACACAATTAGCCAAGCACCTGGATTGTAACAAACAACTGCTGTTATTTCCAAGGGCAAAATAAACACAATTTATCAAAACCATAACAGAACCTCCAGTTAGTTGTTTATTAACTCAGGAGTATCACTTTCCAGCCATCAGAGCATGGCTAAATTCAGCTTGCTTTATGTTTCTGTAAAATCTACCCAAACCAGAATTTTAAAAATATACCCAAGACAATGTTAAATCTTTAAAAAAGGGGAAGGGGAATAGCTGGCACTTTTCACTGCAAGTTGGTTCACCGAACTGAGAGAAAAATTCTTGAAAGCACTATATTTTCTGATCCAGAAAATGTATGACCCAAATGTGGAGAATAATTAGTTTTATCTTCTACAGGCTGACATACGATTGTTACTGAAGAATGTTCCTGTTATGAAGACATACACACATACATGAATGAAGACATACATACTTCTGTATTAACTGACTGAAACAAGCTGAATAAATGAAGCTGACAAATTCCTTAACTTCCCTGCAGCCTATGGTCCCACTCTGCAGTTACAGGCAGTAAAGGCACAGGCCACAGAGCACTGATTCTGCTGCAAGCGAGGGCATTCACCTGACAGCTTTTTAGATGTGTTAGGCAGTAAATTTGAGGACATGTAAATAACACGTAGAAAAAAAAAAGGTGGTATAGAACAGCCTAGAATGCATAATAAACTCTGTTCCCACTGCTCCTCACATGCATCAAGTTTTCAGACATTGTGTTGCTTCATTTGCTGAGGCGGAATTTCTCCAATTTTGCAAAACTATTTCATTTACTCTCAAATAAACAGGGAAACATTGCTACTATCACAAATGTATCACTTCGGTATAGCAGAATCAGTAATGGCTCTCTGATGTCTCCTTCCTTCCCCTAAAACTGATTTACAAACTGATACAGTGTCGTAAAAAGTCAAAAACTTTCTCCTAGTATTGTTGAAAGCAATTGGTAGCTGTAGTGAGATCCCTCAGCCTCAGAGAGCCTGTCAGGCTTTCTCTGTCCCTGACATACAGAGGGGGTCCACTGTTTGGTCAGCCTCTAGGTACAAACAAGCATATGGAGGTGGCTGCAGCCCTGTACTGAACATACACTCTGCTGCTCTTTGCATTCAAAACTAGATGTTATTCTGACCTCAATTACAATAGAATGAATCCAAAGTAACGTCATCAAAGTTGAAAATTTCAGAGCAAAATGATTCTAGATTTATATTCTGAGGTCAGAATTTGGCCTAATGTTTTGTTCCCACTGCAACTGCTATAGTTATAAATAAATCAACTACAGAACATAGTTATTACAAGTGGCTCTTGGGAATGGACTAGCTTAAATTTAGATCTTTAACTTGTTAAGGAGCCTGTTCTCTGTCCTTCAGCTCAGCCACAGTGGCCTCTGCCTTAGAATCATAGAATCACTGAAGTTGAGAGAGACCTTCAAGATCATCCAGTCCAAATGTCCCCCCAGCACTGTCACTGTAATCCCTAAATCCCTGAACCACACCTCCCAGCACTGAATCCAGATGCTTCTTAAACACCTCCAAGGATGGTGACTCCACCACCTCCTTGGGCAACTTACTCCAATGCCTGACCACCCTAGCAGTCAACATTTTTTTTTCTAATATCTAATCTGAATGTTCCCTACCTCAGCTTAAGGCCATTTCCTCTTGTCCTCTCACTGCAGGCACAGCAGAAAAGACCAGTCCCCACCTGGTTACAACCTTCTTTCAGAGGGTTGTAGAGAGAAATACGTGCCCCCTGAGCCTCCTTTTCTTGAGACTAAACAAACCCAGTTCCCTCAGCCATTCCCCATAAGATGTTTTCTAGACCCTCCACAAGCCTTATTGCCCTTTGCTGGACAGCACCAAAATGTCCTTTTTAAAGTGAGGGGCCCAGAACTGGACACAGTAGTCAAGGTGTGGCCTCATCAGTGCTGAGTACAGGGGAAGGATCACTTCCCTAGTCCTACTGGCCACACTGTTCTTGATATTGCCATTGGCCAAGATGCCATTGGCCTTCTTGGCCACGTGGCACACTGCTGGTTCACACTGAGCCGGCTGTCAACCGGCATCTCCAGGTCCCTTTCTGCTGAACAGCCCTCGAGCCCTTCCTCCCCCAGCCCAGCCTGTAGCGCCGCAGGGGTTTGTAACCAGAGTGCAAGACCTGCCACTTCACCTTACTGAACCTCATGCAGTTGTCCTTAGTCCACTGATGGAGTCTGGCCAGGCCACTCTGCAGAGCCTTCCTACACTCAAGCAGATCAACACTTCCACCCAGTTTATGTCATCTGCAAATCTGCTGAGGGTGCACTCAATCCCCAGGGCCAGATCATCAGTAAAGGTTTTAAGCAGGACCATCCCCAAACCTGAGTCCTGGGGAACACTGCTAGTGACTGGCTGGCAACCGGGCCCAACTATTCAGCCATCAAAGAGTTCACCTGTCCAAGCCACAAGCAGCTAGTTTCTCTAGGAGAATGCTGTGGGAAATGGTATCAGATGCTTTACTGAAATCTAGGCAGACACTATTCACAGCCTTGCTCTCATCTACTAAGTGGGTCACTTTGTCATAGAAGGAGATCAGCTTGGTCAAGCAGGACCTTCCTTTCCTAAATCCATGCTGACTGGTCTTGACTGTTCTGGTGTCTATGTAATGGCACTCAGGATGATCTCTTCCATAACCTTGCTTGGAACCGAGGTAAGTCTGACAGGCCTGTAGTTCCCTGGATCATGCTTCCTTTTGCTGCCAATGTAGTTATAGAAACTTTTCTTATTGTTTTTAACTGCAGCAGTCAGATCAAGTTCTAGCTGGGTTTTGGCCCTTCTAATCTTCTCCCTGCATGACCTTACAATACCCTTATAGTCCTCCTGAGTTACCTGATCCTCCTTCTAGAGACAAGAGATTCTCTCTTTTTTTTTTTCCCTAAGTTCTCTGGTAAACCAGGCCGGTCTTACTCCCTGATGACTCATTTTTCTACACACAGGAACAGCCGGATCCTGAATATTTACTGATTTCTTTTTAAAGCACATCCAGCCTTCCTGGATTCCTCTGCCCTTCAGGATTGACCCTCAAGGGACTCTGCCAATCAATCTCCTAAACAGGCCGGAGTCTGCCTGCTGGAAGTCTAAGATGAAAGTTCTGCTGGTCCCATTCCTTTATTTCACCCCATATTGAAAACCATCATTTTGTGGTCACTATGCCCAAGATAGACACCAAACACAACGTCACCCACTAGTCCTTCTCTGTTCACAAACAGCAGGTCTAGCAGGGCCACTTCTCTAGTAGGCTCATTTACCAATCGT